AGAAAGGCAGAGAGGAGAAATTGTTTGCAAGCAAGAAAGTATTGTTCCCAACAGTTATTTACTAAATATCTCAACATGCCTATTTTTTTTTTTAATTACAACAAGAGACTTTATTGGTATCTTTTATTTATAGTGGAATATTATTTTTTAAACTTTTCTAGACGATAAAACTTGGGGGAATTTAAGTAGGTCTCTAAAATAAGGAGTTCTGATATTCTGGGCCTGAGGGTCCAGTATGATTATTTCTACCTAATTAGACTAGTAGTTAAAAGCCAAATGCATATAATCCCATTTTGGCTTAAAATATATATCAGTATGAGAATGCATGTAAGTGCACAGGTGCACATGCATGCAAGAGGTCCCACTTAGAATCCTGTCACTTTGGGGATCTTGTAAGAGATACTGTTGGTGTCTGGCCCACATTCCCATAACCTACCCTGGAAGTCACCTGTAAATATCTCCCTATTAGGCAAAAAGCTTCTGTCCTCACACGGGACCATTCTTGGTCCAGGAGCAAGCCTTACCCTTCCCGTGCCCTGGTCTCATGGACTTCACTTCCTGTTCATTCTTGACTAAATTTCTGCCCACATGTATATTACATAACATATTCTCCTCACCCTCTGTGTGAATCTTGTCTTCGTCAGACTCTATGGGAACTCTTCAAAGAATAAACTCCCCAACTGTCCACTCTTCCACTTACCATCAAACTCTCACCTGCACTACTGCAACAGTTTTCCTAATAGGTACCCTTGTTTGTGGTTTTATCTCTTGCAATCCACTATGTACACAGCGGCTAATATGATCTTTTAAAAACATAAATCAAATCATGGTAGTCTCTCGCTTAAAATCTTCCAATGGCTTCCTCTTTCACTTGAAGTAAAGTCGAAACACCTCACTGTAGCCTATGATACCCCATAGTATCTGTCATCTGCCTGCCTCCCAGATTTCATCTCATACCATTCTCTCCCTCACCCATTCCACTGCAGACACTCCATTGTTTCCTATTGCTCAAACACACCAACCAAGAGGTTTCTGCACTTACTATATATTCTAGCTGTGTGTCTTCCCCCAAATTTTTGCATAGTTGTCTCCCTTTCATTATTCAAATCTCAACTCAAATGTCACCTCTTCAAAAAGACCTTCCCTGGTTTGTTTAAAGTAGTCATTCTCAATAACATTTTCTTATTTAATTTTCTTTATTGCACTTACCATTGTCTAAAATTGTCTCACTCTGTGAGGGGATCATACCTGTCTTATTCACAAGAAAGTCCCTGTGCTTAGAACTTAGTAGGTGCTACACACTCAAGTAATCGTTAGCAGATAATCATTACACACAATATTATATGCTAGCCACTAAATATTACTACAAAATGTTCTTCATGCTTGTTTACATTAAAAAGAATGATACACTATACATTTTTTGATGAAAAAATTATGTGAATTTATTCCTGTCTAATGAATCAGTTCTAATGAGAGCAAAAACATATTTCAAATAGTGTCAAAATTCCTCTACAAAAAAGGTGCTGGTACACTGGTACCATAATGAAAATATTAGTGGTTGTACATAGTAAACAAGGACAGTGAATTCTTATTTACACTAACTTTTCAGCTTTCAAATGCATCTTACCAATTAACATAGCACACTAAATTTAAAATCGGACATTTTGGTGTCCATAATATAAGTAATGGTAATTAAAATCAGAGTCTAAAACTTTTTTATCTTCAATTGGTCTTGGAATGCTGATCTCTAAAATTTCTGTTCTCTAAGTTTCTATTCTCCTTTGCTTATTCCACAATGAATTTTTTCACTCGTTTGAAACTGTATAGTCTCATATTTTGTTGGAGTGCAACATCAAAATAATTAACCCAAATTTTAACATCTAAAGATTTTTTTTCTAATCCAGAGGTAGGGATTAGCAGAAATTCTCTGCTTTGTCTTTACCCTGTCTTACAGAAACACTCCTCTGTGGTGTTGATATTTCAAAGTAAAACCCTTCCTGAACCCAGTATATAAGAAACTTTTAGTGCCTGTTTCTAACTGTTCATGAGTGAGGGCCATCACAGAAAGCAAATTACAATGGAAACTGAGTTAAGCGCTGATAAAATCTCTGTTGTTGTTTTTAGACTTTCTTTTAAATTTTATTTCTCTACGCTGATTTTATGAGGTTCAATTACAGTGCATAACAAATAGGATCCACTGAAGAGAACTAAGTTTCACTTAACTTCATAACAATTATTCCGGATTTAATATTTACTTGAATGTAGAATGAGGCAAAGTGTTTATTAAGTTTTACTCTCGTCACAGTCACCTTACTGCAACACATACACTCAATATATATAGGTTTGCAAGGCTGTCCAGAAACCTAAAATCCTTCTAGTGTTTTCCTTTGCTGTAAAGAAAAATTGGTCAGTGATATGACACTTGCAGTATAAGTCATTACAGGTCTGATGTTACACTTGTTATACATTATTGAATCTATCAAATGAAAAGGGAATTTCCAAATGCAGCTGCTATTTCCCAATTGTTAAATCCTTTTATTATACCATATAAGTACACAGCTGGGAAATACTATAGAGTGGGAGCTAAAACAAAATATTTTGGCTTCCGGACATTCAGAATACACAAAGGCTCCAGTGCGAAGTAATGTTTGATATCAGAAGAGAATGAAAGTTTGAAAACATTTCCAGCAAGTATGATTTCTTTATATTAATATAACATATTTGTAAATTTAAACTATTTTAGACTACCATAAATCCCACTTGTAAATTTGGTAAGCAAATTATTAATATCTATTTTCTGACAAAATTTTAGATCATAAAACTTTGAGAATAACTCACCGAAGCAATTTTGCACTTGCCAATATACAAACTAAATTATACTAAGAAAAATAAGTAAAGAGTGCTCTAAAGAAGTAGAATTTGAACTGTATTATTTCTGCCTCAACCTGTATTTTCCAGTGTAGTTATTCTGATTTGTCCATGAGTATATTTGGCATAAAAGCTAAAATATATCTTGAACCTAACCCTTCTCCCTAGCCCATCTGCCTCCACACTAATCCAAGCCACCATCATCTCTTACCTGGATTTCTGAAATAGCTTCCCAGCAGGTCTTCCTCCTTTCACTCCATCTTCCCCACATCTATTCATATACAGTCACAGAACTATCTTTCTGAAATATTCTTAAACCCTTCGATGGCTTTCCATTGCACTTAGTATCAAATCTCACTTCCATAATGTTACCTACAAGGTCTTGTCGGATAACTAGCCCCTACCAATCTCTCCAACCATATCTGATGCTATGTCGCACCCTTGCTCATTACACTTCAGCTACAAGAACTATCTTTCATTTTCTGAAACTCAGCTATATTTTTCTCACCTCAGATATTTCATACATGATGTTCCCTCTGCTATTTTTACTCTTTCTTCTATTTTTTGCCTGGTTAGTTCTTATCATCCTTAGGTCAAAGAGGGCATTCCTATCCATCCATTCTAAATGAGGTTTATTTCATTATGTTCTCACATGGCATTATGTTCTTTTTCTTCTTAACACATATCAAATTTTAATTATATTTTTGTGTGTGTATATTTATTTTTGTTCCCTCTCCTAGATATAATCTCCATGAAGGCATAATCATGCATGTTTTATTTACTAGACAGCCAGTACCCAGCAGAATGCTGGGCACAGAGGAGGTGCACCATAATGATTTGTTGAAATAAAGATAAAACATAGCCGTATTATTTTGCCAAAAAGCCAGTGAGAGTGACTGAATATCTATTTCACCCATGCTATATTGGAGTTATAAAATGAACTGCTTATGTTCAATTAAAAAAACAGACTTTTATCCTTGCTTTATTATATCTTCTCTCTTCCCCCTATGCAAGGAAAACAAATCTTCCACGGGGTCTAACTGTATAATGATGATCCCCTTTCAACCTAAAGTTAGTCTAGAATAATCTAGTCTAGTCCAATCCCCTATGTCTCAGCTACTGCTTCAGAGTACTAATTGTGCCTGCAGAATCATCTGAAAAAGAAAAATGTCTGCCTCCATAAATTATAAAATTAAGTCTTTGAATTGGTTCTGAAACATTAAGCATAGAGCAAGAATTTTAAAATGCTATTAGAGTAAAGGCATTTTTAAATATTACCTTAGTTTTTATTAAGGAACAAAACTTTTCCCCATTTCCCACTTAAAACACTTTTCATTAATTTAGCCAAAAGTTAAGACATGTAAAACAGGGTTTAAAATTCCTAATCTAATAAAATATGTTAAGATTTTGGTCAGTTTTAAATGTTAAAAAAGTTAATATTTTTGCTTTAAACTAGATAAGTAATGTCACTTATTATGGTACCTGTTTTGATGGTTACAGGTAGAATTTAACATGGAAAAGCTGGCTAATACACTGCATGTATTGGACATTGTTTTTTCTACCTTTAGGGCAAACTCCTGCAGTTTGATTGAATGATACTCAGGAGCTCTGCATGTCCTTTTGAAATTAATATATAGGCAAATAAGTGAGAAAAGCTTTATTATAAATCAAGAATTACTGTTAAAAATGATAAATACCTGCATTTCCTCACTGAAGATGTATTCACTATATGACCTCATTCACATAGATATATTTGCTTATTATAATTTTTCAATATTAATACATAGCCGCACTTTACTGGATCATACTACCTATTTTGTGGTATTATCAAGGTCACCACCTTAAATACAGAGAATCAGAGAATAAGATAACCAAATCTCCCCCGAAATTAAATTAAATATCTTTTGGCAAGTCAACCTAATAATGGACAAAAACAAAACCACAAACCATTTTCCAATTTTTCCCACTAACTAGTATTAATATATTAATAGTATACAAGGTGGTCATTTTCAGCGCCTGAACACAAATAACTCTAATGATACAGATTCTGAGCTTTCTCTAAAACACTTATTTGTAATGAGCCCATAATAACAGACATACTTGGTGACAGTGACCAGATTTTAAAAGCTCACCATTCTTTGCTGAGACGACAGAACACTGTCCCAGTCAGCATCCTGTTGAATGGTATTGACAAGTGTTGGTAGCTCCTCAGAGTGAGGTTTGTTGTGCATTATGGGGTGCAGAGGCAGATGGGAGGCCACATGTTGATCACTGCCCTCTTCCTTTTCCCTTGAGGTCAAATCTTGGGTCATTGCTTCCTCTCCATCAGCTGCACAGGCAAATGGAGAGGTGGCTTGCTTGGAAGACATTCTTCTGCAGAATAAGGAAACAGCATGGATTTTTAAAAGGGCTGTCAATGACAAAAGAATAAACCATCCCTAACATGTGACTAATTCAGGAAAAAGGGAAAGTTCTCTAACTTCAGAAATGTTTATGATCTACTCTAAACCACTGAAAAAGAACTCTTAGCTTATCTGTTCCACTTTCCCTCTTTCCTTTTAACTCAAGCAAACTTCTTCCCAGTAATTGCTGCACATTTTCTTTCTCACCAGTCCACAAATGAAATTTTTATGGAATAAGTTTTCATAATGTATAGTATATGTATGTGTGTATTTTTCCTCCCAGTTCTCCCAACTAGATTATTGAGAGTAATTCAGTTGATGGCTAGCAATGAAAAAAAATGAATGAATGAACAGCAAATGAGCCAGTTTGGAGGATAAGTTGAAATTACAAATATCCAAATTTCTCTTATGCTTTATGTAGGAACAAAGGAAGTCTATGTAAGAAAATATAATCAGGAGAGTAAGCAATCTATGATAAAAATCCTAAACAAACTTGGTCCTGACTTCTTAGTTTATACCTTGTATTATGAGTACTAGGCCTAACACTGATTAGTGTCAATCTGATCTTTTTCTAAAGACCTTCAAGCTGTGTCAATCGCTACAAGTAAACTTTTAAGTGACATACTGATTGAGTAGCTGACAATGCTAGATTAGTTTTAAGGCAATTTTGTGACATTTTAATTGAGTATATGAAATAACTATGCTTCTATTTTATATTAGAAAGTACATATAAGATTCAAAGCATTTACTATGAAGAGTAAAATGCCTACTATTCATAATCTTAAAACTCCAAAAACAATTACTGCACATTCTTCTATGTATCCACAAGTAAACATAACTACACTCAGCACAGTGAAGACAAGGTCTTCATTCTGTGCTTTCATATACAATCAGAAAATCATGATTGTTAGACAGAGTTTCAAAACTTTTAGAATATCACTTTATCGAAATGATTTTCTTAGAAAAATGTTTAGAAATAAAATCACCAGAAGTTTATAACTTAAAAGAAGAGGCAATTGAGTATATTTTCTAAAACTTTACATTGTTTTTGGTTTATAGTACAGTTAGCCCTAAAATTGCTGTGTAATGAAAGGAATAAAATCTCCACCTTAATTGCTCTTTAACATTAATTGATTTCATACTATTTTTTTAAAATGCACAAATCAGTTAACATAGGAAACCACATGAGCATTTTTCAAATTAGCAAATCATTAACTTGCTAGTACTGTTTCTACAGACAAATAAATACTGATTAAAGGGTCTAGAAATCTGAGATTAACAGTTAAATTTACAAATCTGTCACATGCTTTCATGAATATTGCAGTGAAGGAAATATCAAGTGCAAAGAAAAATAATTAAGTTAATTCCAATTTAAACAGTAGTTTTTATGTAGCAGCCCATGTTTCACATAGGATTTAACAGCTAATGCTAAATTTCTCACAATTAATGAGGGGGCTCAGATTTAGTATCCTACAGTGAAAAAAATTAATGTAAGATCAGCTAATCTAATTATGCACAGTTCTAAATAAAAGTATTACGGGCTTTTGAAGTGCTTTGAAACACATTAAAATGCTGATACCTACTTATAATAATCATTCTACAAATAATAAAAATTTAATCTACTAGATTTGATACTAGAAAATAATATGGAGGAAAAAAAGTACAGAAGTATGTCTATGTTTTCTTTGAGGAGAAAGAAAAATGTTCTAATGAGTACTTTATCAAAGAATTAGATAAGTATATCCTTGACTAATTTCTATCAATAATGACAAATGGAGAAATGCATATAAACTTACAGAAAATGATACCAAATGATGTTTCTTGTAATACAGGAATCATCTAGAACTTACTTCATTAGCCTCATAAACACTATAGTAAAACCAGGCAAATTATAACTCTTTTGCAAATTTATCAAGAGCTTGCCATTAACAAGAAGAGTGTTTTCATAGTTCAGATAATAACAGTACCAATAATGTAATCATTCACATTAAAGACAAAAGAATGAATTTACTGCTGCTTTTTAAAACAGCTAAATACAATTGAAAGTCATAATCCAAAACTCAGAGTGACTTTAGTTCCCCAACAAACGTCCTCTTATTATAAAGTGACTTGGCTCCTTCCAATAGCAATATCTGTGATTGTTGGTTTAGTATAAATTAATCACAACACAAAACCCAAAATGAAAAGTCTCTTAAGAATAATTTCAACTATAAACTGCACCAATGAACAATAGTGCACAATCCTAATTAAACACAACCATGCAGCTGTAAAAATAGACTAAAGCTGTCCAAAGCTATGGGTTGAGTTTAAAGGCTGGTTTGTTAGAGTGTTTTCTTAAGGAAGGCTGGGCCCTCTGTCTTAATCAGCCAATAAATTACTTCCTGCAATTACATTAAATAGAAAATTATTTTCAAATGGGGAGTGTTAATTGAAAATCAAAATTCAGAGGGAAGTTTAGAAATTACACGCTGAATACAATTAGTGAGGAAAGGCTTCACCTCTACTTCATCAACAGTCTTCTGGTGATTCCTCCAGTGACCATTCAGGAAAGCTACCAATTTATAACATCACACACTGTCTTTTATTTTGCACCTACAAATACAAATGTGTATCAAGGTTGCAAATAAAAGATAGGCTGCCAAAAAAAAAGCAATATTAAATCTGACTGTTCATCCTCAGTTCACATCATCATTAATGGACAAGAAGAGGGGAAAGGTAAGACAATAATGCTTAGAAACCAAGGAAGGCATACTCAACTTCAAAATCCCTCCCTTTAGCAAAGGAATTAACATTTTTTTGTTCCAAGAATACTTTTCCATATCATATTTAATTTAATTTCTTGTGTTTCCTTTAGTTCTCAATATGTTGTTAGCAGAAAAAAAGGTGATTCTTTTTCTTTTAGCTAGGTATTGCCCCCCTGTAGACATTTCCTTTTGATAAAATTGTTGGGCTTCTTTCAGGTTTGTTTTTTATTGATGGTTTTGTTGTAGTTTTTTGTTTCGGATGGTGATTTTCTTGCATTTTTTTTTTTGCGGTACGCGGGCCTCTCACTGTTGTGGCCTCTCCCGTTGCGGAGCACAGGCTCCAGATGCGCAGGCTCAGCGGCCATGGCTCACGGGCCTAGCCGCTCCGCGGCATGTGGGATCTTCCCGGACCGGGGCACGAACCCGTGTTCCCTGCATCAGCAGGCAGACTCTCAACCACTGCGCCACCAGGGAAGCCCTGGTTGCATTTTTAAAAGGAAAATGTGCACAAATTCTTTTTAATGCAGCTTTAAGTGTCTTGGATTTACTGATTATTAGATTCAATTTACTGATTATTTTTTGCAAAATTATTTGTTATAGAATCCATGAATTTACTGATTACATCCTCATTCATTTCACTACTTCTTTACTTTAGCTTTCCCTTTTACTAGACCAACTAAACTGTATTCTAGAAGTTGCAAAGATACTTGACTTTTGGTAATACCTTTACCTAGCATGATAGTCATTGCACCATGGCTACTCTCCTACAAAAACTCATAAATCAAATATACACTTGCTTTAATGATTTAAAATATCACATGGGATGCTTACTTTTATTTTTAATCCTCATGTTAGTAATTTTTCATTACAAAAACTTTCACTCCCAGTGTATTAGAACAGTATCTTACTTTAGCTGCTGCCATATACAACTAATAAGCAAAAGAATTAAAATCCTTGTGAAAACGGTCAATTTCTATGTGACTTAACTTTGTTTTATTTTTGCACTATTATAACTTAAAAATCATTCAAATGAATTGTTTTTTTAATTTGTATTAAAAAAAAATATCTCCCTAGTTATACCCCTTGAAAACAGGGGTTTATAATGGAAGTGCTGACACAACCCTAACTAAAGCAGCGCAAATGTTGCCGCTATAATACACAAAATCAAGTTCTATTATTCTAAACTATCCTCGCTCATGGGATTTTTCTTTACTGTGCTCCCAGCCAAACTGCTGAAGCATGAAAAATTTAAATGCAATCAAATGCGCCCAATTCTACTTTACCAGAACAAGTGTCTACAGTGGTACAATCTTAAAAGGAGATGCAACAGATTTGTTTGGTGTTTTTTTTAACTGTTTATTTATAATACAGTGCATTGGAGATAAAATAAAAGAGGAAATTACACTCACATGGTACCAGTGTATTGACTACACAGAGTACATTATAATCAGAGAGAAAAACTACATTGTCAACTTATCACATTGGTTAAACAAGATGGTTTTCTGGGGCATAGCTATTATCAAGTAAAACCTCCAAAGAGAATAACATATCTTTGGACACATAAAACTAAATTCCCATCATGTGTTCCCGAGTTTGAAATGTCTCTGCCCAGCAGATCAAGTGAATTCCCAGGATGCCAGCCGTTGGGAAGAACTTCAGGGCTTAGGACTTTTGAAAATGAGATTGTAGGAGATAAAGTCTCCAGTAAGTGATAAAGTTTTCTAGGAAGCCAGTAGTAGTACCTCTAGGAAGATTATAATTATTTTACTCCAAAACCCCAGTATAAAAGCTGAATGTTTAGACCATTACCAACCTACTCAGACGGTAAATTTCCTTTATGTTCTTTAACAAGAAATCAAGATTAGCTGGTCCAAGACTTGATAAAATGATGAGGACTGGATATCTACACATTAAGTCCTCTATCTCAGAAAAACCTTATTTTCTAGAACTTTAAATCTTTCTTATTTGATCGTGCTATTTAAAAAAGAAAAAACAGTTATTTTTATGTCTAAAAGTTCGGATTTTTTAAAACAACTTTCTCATAAGGCATAGTCACTTGAAATTACTTTTTTTTTCTTTACCATTGCTTGGAAGGAATTCACCTCCAAACTATCATTTGGGACTGACATGATTATCCAAAGGAGCCACTGAATTTATTACAACAATATTTTTAACCTGTTTTTTCAAATGTTTTCATTACTTCTGAGATTATTATCAAATGGCATTC